CGAGAGAACAAGACATATTAAGAAGAATAATATCATAGATAAATATAATATCTACTTGTTTTTTAATTCTTATTTCACTATCCATTTCCTGCAGTAATTACAGAGATAAGAAGAGGGCTCTTATTATTATAAATATATTATTACCTGCTCCACTATCCATTTGCTCAGCGGGATCGCAGAGATTGAAAAATAATAATAAGATTATTTTTTTTTTTTTTTTTTTTATAATCTTTTCTCCTCCTACCTCACCAGCCGCACAGAGGGGCGAGAGGACGAGGTATATTAAGAAAAATAGTATTATAAATAAATATAATATTTATTTATCTATTAATTCTTATTATATTTTTTATAAAAAAAATATCACCTATGTACAAGGGCTGTAATAAAATTATTAATTATAATACTATCTCCCTCTACTATCTGCTGGCTCGGCGGGATCGCGCAGGTCCAAATATATTAATATAATATTATTTTTTTAATTATTTTATTTTATTTTTATATTATTATTATCTTTATAATCTGCTGTCTAGTACATAACCTCTACTTTCTTATAAGTAACTGTAGGCATGTATACAGATTATCAGGTATTAATATTCTCATAAAAAGAAATATTTCTTAAAAAGTATATAATTTAAATAAAATAAATAATACTAAATATTAAGATAACTACTGGAGTAGATATTATCACATATCAGATACTCAGACTATTTATAAATAATCTCTTACTTTAGGATTTATTATAAAAATATTAATATATTACTTTGTATAACGCTTATTAGGGTAACACTTATTATTGTAATATTTATTTTTGTAATACTTAATAGATTTATTTGGGCTTAGAGTCTGTAGAAAAGGATACTAATCTAATTTGAATTTCTGTTACATGTACTAACCTGATTGAATTTCTGTTATATATATTAACTATATTTAGAAGGAAATACTTTTATCTTCAAATCCTTATAACTCCACAGAATAATTAATTGAAGATATAAAAGTTATATTACTATATTTCTTGTAAAGAGCTCTATCAAATGATACTACTTATAACTTTAACAGACATCATTTGACCGTTGTCCCGTTGTGAAGATTTCCCTACTAGATTCTATTTTTAGCTGTTCTATGGTTAAATATAGGGAAATCTTATACTTAACTATTAATCTGACAGCAGGTATAAATTTTTTTATTAATCTATCCTACCCTGACCGTTAACCACTCTAATTATTCTATTTTGTTAACAAAATAAAATATATTAATTCTACTATAAAATCTGTTAAATATCTATAAAATATCTACTAAATTATTAAGAATTTTTATTATTATTATTCAAATAAATCCTAGCCTTCCTCTTGTAGGAGCTCAGATTAATAAAGAAATATTATTATGATATAAATTATAAAATATTACTTAGACTAACTGCCCGGGTATATAACCCGCAGGAATATAAATAAACCAGTTTTCTAGATTTTATTTATAGTCTTAAGCTATATTTTATCTATTATCCTGTATATAGCTTGATTAGAGCTAGCCAGTCTATTCCTAGCCTGTCCTTGCTTTCCATTTAACCTACCTTTCTACTATCCCCCTGCCAGCCCACACCTTGACAATTCTTCTTATATAGAATAAAGCTAGTCTGGCTTTTTGAGTTATTATAATTTAAAAAATTACTAGTTACTTATTTTTTGTAGAGATTCAGTTTAGACTGTTCTTCAGTTTCTTAATAAATGATAGTACTACTAGTTATGCACTTCTAGAATAAAAAATTAAATAATTTAATATAAAAATATATATAATATATAATCAAGCTGTATATAAACTTATAATCTATATAGTATAATGATTTTTTATATAAAATATAAAATATACATATTTATTATATAAATTATCATATAAATTACTATGCATGCAGAACAGCAAGAAAAATATATTAGACAATTATTATTATAAGATAGTAAAGAAAAATATATAAGTAAACCTTTTTATATAAGAACATATAAATTATATAAAATGATAGTAGAATTTATTATTATTAACTAAGCCAGCCAGTATAATAATGTATAATCATATTATAAAAAAACAAAAAAAGTGATTTTTTAGAAAATAAAAAAAGCCTTCTGACCTTATATATTTTATTATTATAAATCAGATATAATAAATAATAAAATTATTCAAAAAGAAATTCTTACTTGCTAGAATATAAGATTATAAAATTATATTTACTATTTTAAATTATGTTCCATGTATAAAGTATTATTAAGTAATACTAGTTTTAAATTAAATTAGATATCATTTGACTGTTGTCCTGTTGTGAAGATTTCCCGACTAGAATAATATTCACAGATAACCCAACTACATTTAGGAGAGAAGAGCAAAAAAGAAAGAAAAAAGATTTTTGGTAAGAAATGATTCTGCCGACCACCCCTACCGCATACAGGCCGACTGATCACCGTTTCCGCTTTTTATGACTATGCTTTGGATGAAGATCCTGCTCGTACACCTTGAAGAAATCTGGCGGCTCCTGGGGGTGTCCGCCAGTAATGTCGTGAAAGGCAGTGGTAGAGATATAGTTCGTCTTACCTTCACGCACTAGAGAGTAATACTCTAGTAAATATTGTATCTCGGAGTCGTCACTTTCAGCCTGAGCATGCAGGACCTTTTTGGCTTCCGCCCTGTAAATCATACCCCTCAGCATAGGATCTCCCACAGAGAAAGGGTCACATACTCAGATATATCTTCGAATTGAAGGTCCTCTCCTATTGACTTACTAGCAGCTGTGGCAAGCTCATCACCGGTAGCAAGCATCGGTCCTATATAGTATAAGTGTAAACCCTTCTATTTTGTAGGGATCTGACTTACCAGTCAGAACTATAAGCTGCCCTCTGTGTTCATCGCTAAATCCATGTTTTCCTTCACCTGTTAGAACATGAGCGACAACTTGTGCAACATCCTGTATAAATTTTAGTGTCAATTTAATATACGGCTGGAGAGGTAGCTTACACCAAGAGCGATCGGCGCGAACTTGTGGTTAGTGCCGATGGGAAGGGGAAGTAAGCCCTCTTCCTGCGCCTGCTTGGAGTAGAGGAGGAGATTCTCCGCGTAAAATCCGGGTCTAGCAAAATTAGATGATTTCAATTGCACCCCACGTGAAGAATGGGTATTCAAAGGACCGTGAAAGGAAGCCTACCGCACAATAACGGGAGAATGACCTGTCGAGGTCGACGGATCCCCCTTTGAGGACATGAACATAGCTTCCAAGTCTATAAACTCACGTAGACGGGGTTGCCTGTCTCGCTCTGCTAGATCGCAGCCAGCCGAGCTAAGAAAGCAAACATTTGGAATATTAGCTTTCTTAGCTGCTTCAATCAACTCAACCGTGATATCGAATTTATCTTGATGTGTCGGTGGAATTAAGCACATCGTATCTGCTCCTATACTCTTTAGAGCAGAAACAGTATCCCTAAGCCGGCCAGGCTTGTGCGAAACAATCTTCGCACCAAGCTTGGTGAGCTCTTTGCAAGAATCGGCATTAGGATGGAGGGACAAGCATGTAACAGAGCCGAGCTTATCGGCGAAGTTAGGGTCTGTTAGACACAGTTCGGCGATTAGAAACCCGGTGTGGCCCTCCGCCGAGGTAATGCAAAGTGAACGAGACATTTTTTAATTGATCTGTGTCGCTGAGATGCTTTGGCACGTCCGGGCTACAATTGGGGTATCTATATATTAACGCGCGGTGGCGGCCGGTGACAATGACATCGACTACTTACTGTCAGCTGGTGAAGTAACACACCCGTCATTGCGGTGACACCCGATTGTAGGGCTTCGCGAATACAACATTTCGTCTTTCAAAGCTGTTAGGAACAGCCGGCAAGTAATCCATAGATGAGTGATACGGGGCCACCACTAACGAGACCCGAGGACATTGTACTAAGGAATTTGGCGGAGGACCTTAAGCCTAGGATTAGGCATGAGCTAGGTATGACGGGTGCGGCTTGGTACGAGTCTCCCCGACCGCATGCGGCGTCCTGTCATAAATACGTACTTGTGGCAATCGGCGGTTCTCGCCATGTGCGATTCCTTGGTCTTTGATAAACCTCGGATAGATGAAACTGGGCGTCGACCTAGGGTCCAGCTCCTTCCGATTCCTTTGAGAAACCTGACCGAGCTAAGCTTCTAGTGCCAGCTTGGTGGAGTTGGGATGGTGTAATTACACTTTTGGGACACCATTCCATGAAAATTCAAATTCCACTCCAAAAGTCGTTACACTTTAAATGAATCACGTGAGAGGGATGGACTCTTATAATAATACTTTTATTCACTAAAATGGACTGAAATATTTCCTAACATAGTAAGTAAAAGTAAATATAAATTAGCGTGTTCTCTAGCTTTACATCCCGAAAAATCCGTTACGTGACATCTTGCCAAGAATCATGAAATTCAGCGAGGTTTATCCGTCAATGATCCCCGGGTGGGGTGGGGCGGCGGGGGGGGGGAGGGACACTAAATGAGAGTTCTTATTGTTAGCCCCACAAGGGTGTAACATAAGACCGGGTTCCAGTTAGGAGCGCTATGAGGGAGCACAGTTAGTTATTTTGTCCAGAAAATGGCACACCGGTTCATCTCCGTCCCTAGCTTCATTTTTCAGCTTTAATCTATGTACAGTCTTTGCCAGGCCGTGTGTCGGCATAGTCCACATTAATTGGTAGGTCAGATATCTCGCGCTACTACAGTTGCATTGGAAATGAAACCGTTCCAATAAGACATGATAACAGCTCCATAATGCTATCTTGATTCAATTCTGTCGGATGTTATCTTCCGCTTGACGCCAGCAGCAGTATGCATGTTCTGGTATTGCGTATTACCCTGGTGGATCCTTGAGGTTGGATCCTCATAGATTCTGTATCAAAGCGAGAATTTACCAAGAGTACTAGAAGCCTACTAAGATAGGAGGGGAAGGGTAGATGAGATTTTCAGTAGGATGTAGTAATGAGGGAACAGCAAGACAATGCCTATCTGCCACTGGAAAGGCAGGCGTCGTCAAAGTCATTTACTAGCCAGCTTCCTCGAGTTGTGTATGGAGGTGACTTTCTTTTATAATTCTGTCGCTCATTCAGACAAAAAGAACATCTACTCACTCTAACATCATTTTGTTCTGCTAGATTTACTCACTCACACATTCATTTGCTATGTCAAATTAGCTGTTTGGTCAGTTCCCACTATGGCTAATTCGGCTGCTACCATCAAGTTCCTTATCTCGACGCTCTTTCTTTGCCATGCGCTTCTTTGCCATGCGCTGGTAATTCTATTTTAGTCTTTCCCTAGCGAGGCCGATGTTATTCTATCCGCGAACAGATCCAACCTGGCTGCAAGGCAGCTGGTCAAAAGATCATCACAATACCCCGGTGTCCGGTACGACTCTAACTCCAGTGCAGGGCAGCAGGAATATCTAGTGACTGAGTTGAATGAAATCCAGACCATGGTGAAATCGTCTCAAGGCAGTCTTGTTGGAACTAGTATGCCACAAAAGTAGTACTTGTATGAGCGGCCCGCATTGATATGTTTGTCCTCTGATGCCATAGTCCCATTGGAAGTAGCCTAGCTCTCCACAAGCCCCAGTCTACCCAAAGCTACTTTAAACCACTAGACACGACTCCATGGTATGCGTAACATGCAGTAACACGGGTAGAGGACTCAGGAGCTTCTCCAAGTTGGTATTTTGGGGAACCTTCGTCGCAGTGGATGGACATCATGTCAAGATGGAGGGAGATCGAGCTTACACCTTGCTTTACGGTATGCATTGCTGTATTGTTTCAACTTCATTTACTGATATCTTAGTAGCTACACTCTACAAACATCAGCTCACAATTCCCGTAGAATATGTGGCTTCCGTGGCACGAATCCTTCCCTTTAGGCACACACACGCACGCACGCACAAATTTATCTGGTCCTTGTTCCCCACATTCATAAGCTCCCCGAACCTCGGCGAGTTTGCGATGTTTCTAAATGGATTCCGAATTATAATATTCCGATGTCATGTAACCATGAAAGTGCTATTATATATGTTGGAAAAAAAAATTAATAGCGCTGGGTATAAGCCCAGATGGATATAATGTAGGCAGATGAGGCAGAAGAAAATTAACACCCGAGGGAAATAGCAACCCATTGAGATCAAATAGCCTTTTTCTAATAGAGTTTACTGCCCTTGATATGGGGCTTATGTACGGCTGAGCAGGTGATGAGGGCCTATTCTCTACAACACATCGTCGTATGTAGTACGATGCCCTAGGAAAGGATTATATAATTTATTGGAATAGCGGAGGATAGGAGGAATCCGCTCTCACCAGATCAGCTTGTGGACCGACTCGATCCACATTCAACGAAGTTATAAAATACATGGTTCCAATCTCAAGGCCTAAAGCGCATCATGTTGCTGGGATCTAGCAGTAAAAAAGATTCGTATCGAATGCCTTTGTTGGAGACATTTGTTGGGTCACTCATAGTTTCGGTGATCTGAGGCGATGCAGTGGTCCACCCCTGCAGCAACGCTCTCCAGTAGCATACATCAGCAGCTGGAGTCAGATATCGCTCGCGAAATAAATTCACATTGTTGTCTGCAATAGTGCGAGCCTTGATAGGGTTATCGAGAAGCTCTTGGATCTTGTGCGGTAAATCCGTCCAGTCCCTCTCCACCTGAACAAAGTTCTGCTGCGGACCGGATGAGACAAGAAGATAGTGGTGATGTTGGATATATTGTAATTTGTGAATCACTACTACCGATCGACAGGCCTGGCGATATTTGAGAGACGCTGAGTAGGACCGACCTAGAAGACGTTAGCTGGACTTCCTTGTTGATATTGGCAATGCTTAGACGATGCAATACCCCATACCTTCCACGTGAGCGAAGAACCGGTAATCACAATGATTGTCCATGCTAAGGTAGTTGGCCTTGTTCTTCCACTCGACCTCCTTCACATCTCCCCAGGCGTAATTCCGCGCAATCTCGAGTAGGGCACGTCGTAGCTTCGGGGCGAAACTGAGCTTTCCACGCCAGACCAGTTTGTTCTCTTTCTCGTCCCACGGGAGCTCATGCTCTTCCACGTGTTTGACTACCTCGTCATATGGCCCAATCTGAGTATCAATGTGGTCCCAAGACCAGAAGCCAAAATCTGGCATAAGCCAAACAGATTCTTCAGTGGCCTTCCGTGCCAACACCCAGAGCGGATGATCTGGTCCAGCAACGTCCTCCAATTTGTCTTCAACAGAAATGATAATTTCCGTGTTTAGGATGACAGCGAGCTGTGGAGCCGAGGCGAGGGCGCGATGAAATGAAGCCAAAATCCCTAGAATCTTACGGCGGTGATCCTCCCCCTTCGCCAGAGCTCTAAGGACATAAAGCCGTCCTTGGTAGATAGCCACCCTAGCCATGCCGTCTACCATTTTGATATTGTCAATATCAGTCCTCTTGATTCCATGCCTAGCTGTCCAAAATGACTGGGCGCGGATGGGATCATCAAAAAGGCCCGGGAAGAGAGTGGTGCACTGAGTCTCATTGTAGGAATACTCAAGCGGATCAAAGAAAGTTTGCGTGGGAGGTGCAGAGGACGAGGAAACAGTGTCATGAAATGGCAACTGGGCGGGGCATCGAAGACAGCTGTCACACTCAAAGATAGCAGCAGTGTGGCAAGCACAGTGGCCAGCGGGGATTAGTTGATTGAGCAGTGGGTGGATGTTGTCTCTATCACTGTTAACTCCTAACCATAGTGACCAGATAGAGATCCCAAGAACCGCAGCCAACGCCAAAATGACTATGTGGAAGGCACTAAATTTCATACGCCGCCCCATTTCAGCGATTCTCTCGTTGTGTAGTACTGAAAGGGTCGAGGGTACACAGAAATTTCAGGGAGCAATAGTGGTTCGCCCCAGCAGACGGTAAGCTGTCAGTGGCTAGTAGGGGAGAGGGGGGAAGACTCAACGTCTCTGCTAGTGGTAACGAAGGATTACTCACCTGCAATCCGGCCAACTTCAAGTGATATAAAATACATCACTTCGTGAAGCTTTAAATAAAATTACCCGGACAGGACATTATTGACCGAAACATCCTTGTCACAATTCAAGCCTGTTGCGATATCCACAATTCAAGAAATTCTACGGAAATAGAGACGTACTTCCGAGGCTTCGCTTTCTTTGTTGTGGACCCTTTGGACCCTCAACGGACCCACTACAGGTACCTTCTTGGGAAAAGATCAATTTGTCCTAAATAGGCCCTACTACTACTTAGTCAAATGGCTTACCCTTATACGCACGGTTACTGCGCCGCATGGGGCTCTTAATGCCCTACAGGGCGTGCTCAGCTGAACCCCTTGCCATATAAAATCTATCACTTATGGTCCGCCTGTGAAAAAGTACCTCTAAGCACACTAATTCACCCTAGTTTCAGGATAATTTATCTTCGCCATTATTCCCAACTCCCTGAGTTGCAAATAGCAGTACACAAGTGACGGAGGTATTCACCACACATCTCACGCCCGCTGCACCCTGTTTATGTTGGTTTCCTCATTCGACGGATCTGTAAAGAATGTCAGCCCTGGCCCCATTTCAAGCAATTACCTGGTGTACGTCGGGGCGGGCCACTAGACTAGTTCTGGCAAATGTTGTGGGCGCTTGTCTTGGTTCCACAACGAAAATAATCTATGACATTCGACGTGTTTGCCTCGTCCCATAACATAGTTGGACCCTATGGAATCTTGTCCGTCAAATATGAAAGTATCGGTTAAAATTGGTATTACCGGCAAATTCAACGTGCAGCTTTGTGGTCGAGAATTGTATAGTAATTGATGATCTCCTTCTTCGGTAGGTGTAATGAACCTTGCCAAAG